CCCACGGAAGAGTAAGCACGGTACTCTGACGATGGAAGCGAGTGAGCTTTTGGAACGTATGCACAAATACAATTTGGTATCAGCACTTGCCCGCTCTTCCTCTTCCTCTTCCGGGGATCATGAACACGATACCTTATGTAATTGTGTAACATACTGGCAGCGTGGGTACTAGCTACAATTTTTAAACTGGAGTATTTACCAGAAAGCAAACCTTCCGCTATGCACACAAATATGAGTTTAACCACTCGCAGCTATACCATGCAGCAGCAGAAAATCGGTGAAACAAGTGTCTGGGCTTTTAGCTAGTACCCGTGCAATCAGGAGGGTAAATAATTGCACACTGGTTTTCCCAGCTTTTATAGACAAACCGACGGATTTAGTGACCTCACTCACTAGTGATAACATAGACTGCAGATCACCAAAACTTGAACCTTGTAAGGCAATAACATCGACATGGTCAAGATCAGTCAGCCGGCATCTGAGTGCAAACCCAACACTGTCTTCTTTTTCTTCCAGTGAATAATGTATTTGCACAGAGTGGGCGACAGGATACCACCTTGCCGAAGGTAAGGCCACTTTCGCCCACGTTTGGATGGAGTATGCTGTTATTTATTGTCTCAAAGGCTTTTTATTCAGGGCAGTAGTTTTAGACCAGATGGGTGGTTACCTTGTTTTAATGGAGGGAAAAACAGATGTAGTTTAAGTATGAGTGCCCCACAGTGGTTAACCAGCGTCAGTCAGCACTTCTCCTACGTTTACGTAAGGTAGGGTTGCACGGTACACCATACTGGCAACACTGTTACTAACTAAACGCCCAAACACGTTCTTCATCGATATTCTGCCGCTGTAAGGCGCAGGTGCGAGGGGTTGGGCTTATTAGTGGGTCCCCCAGCTTTGTGGTAGATGTTCAAACTGACATTTCTCATTAAAATTTACTAGAACCTGAAAAATTATACTATAATTATAAACAGAAATTGTTGCGCAGATCAGAAAAAAAACGGTACGCATTTCCTCAAAGCGTTCACATTAGAACACCAGAAAGCTTATCTGTTCAGAATTTCCTAAACATTTTACATGCTGTCTCCGATCTTTGTTCTTACAAGAAACCGTTCCCATTAGACTAAGGCGTATTTATTCGCCCTACATGAAATCCTTAGGGCACCGTAACAGGCTGTATTGTAAATTCTGGTTACGCGCTAACTGAAAGAAGACTCACCATTTGCAGAATATCTAGATCGTAGTTAAGTGCCATTTTCGTCAGCCATTTATTGGTTTTTGCCCTTCTTTTTTTTCTTTTTCACTATATTCGTCAAAGAAATAACGTTGGAACGATTTTATGCCGTTACTTCGTCTTCTCAACTTTCGTGGAGTCTTTGCGGTAAATCTGCTGTTAGTAAAATTCGCAAAATAATGCATTCTATTCAGTATCCACATTGTCGCTTACCTCCTTTCTCCCTTAATGTCGCATCTGCATTCTTGCACATATCTCTTCTTGGTTCTCCTTCAGTTTCCAGCTTTATTATGTAACCCAAACTTCGTACCTATCCGGCAGAGATCATATTTAAACTTCATTTCTCGTGGTTTCGCATTTCGCTGATCGAACCTTCCTAGGTGCGCTTAACTCTATTCATTTTGAGCTAATGATTCCGTCCAAGCCAGTGTCATTTTTATCACTTCTAATGGTAGACAAGTAAAAATACGTAGTTCCGTGATTCAAACTATTTTCGCATCAGAAGGCGAAGGCCAAAAGGTCAAGATAAACCTTTCACATAAACTACCGTAGCTATTCTCCTATTATTCCATGGTCTAATTCCAGTACGTCGGCTTGTCTGTCAGTCACAATATTCGAAGTAGGTTTTTTAAAATTATTCTTTATGTCAGACTACGAACCCTTCATATTTACATTTCATTTCTCTCTCTATCTATTTCTCTTTCTTAAATCAATTTATTGTATTTTATCCAAATTCTTCCATAGAAAGTTGAAATTAAAACACACGATAATACAGCAGCGCAGGTATCTTGGAATCAGGCTGCACATTTGGCAAGGGCCTGAGAGAAGGAAAGGCAATAGTTTAGCAGCACATGTATCAGGCTCGTTGCATTCGTGTAGGTCAAATGATGAGTTGTTCCGGTATAGATAACACTAACTTCCATGATTCCTAATAGGTACCTCTAACTTAAATTTTCCCCCAAACCATTTGGCCAGTGCTATTGCCTTTTCCTCAGGCGATGAAGCGGCAGCAGAAAAATGACTCGGCTCTCCAGCGTTTATCGATCGACAATAACGCAGTTTGAATGTCATTTTATCGATTGTTCGGAAGAGCCACGTCGGCCGACTCCTGCAGGTCAGTTCTTAAATCTGGTTGCCGCTTCACGAAACCGAAACCCCCTAAAGCGTAAAAATGGTGAGTTTTGACAGATTTCCCTATTTTTTTGTCTGCTTTGGCACTTAAAGCGGATTCATCTCCTTTTTTTAGCGTGAAGTTATCAGTATACATGCTGGCCAAGGTGGTGTGCAAATCGGAAATGCCTGCTGGGAGCTCTATTGTCTGGAACATGGAATTCAACCTGATGGACAAATGCCAAGCGATAAAACGATCGGAGGTGGCGATGACTCCTTTCAGACTTTCTTCAGCGAAACTGGTGCTGGCAAACACGTTCCCAGAGCAGTGCTGATGGATCTTGAGCCAACGGTAGTGGGTAAGTGCCACATAAATCGGTCGTTATAACAATAATTTTCATTAATTTTATTAGCAACAGTAGCAGTAGTAGTGGTAATAGTATTCAAGCGGCAGTAGTAGTTGTACTATTTGCCGTCACAAAAGTAACCGTCACAACAGTAAACATTGAAAAAGAACAGTGATAAAACAAATCAAAATCCGTTGTCAATCTGCCCATTTCTCACTGTCAACATACCAGAATAATGGCGGCTCATAACATAATTGACTATATCAAGTACCTAGGGCCACAATGCCGTACAGAGCCGGCCCATGAATTAAATTTAAACTTAAATTTCTTTGTATTTTATTTAAAGACGAAGTCAGAACTGGAACATATCGACAGCTGTTCCATCCAGAGCAACTCATCAGTGGAAAAGAGGATGCTGCAAATAACTATGCCCGTGGTCACTATACAGTCGGCAAAGAAATAGTCGATCTGGTCTTGGATAGGATCCGAAAACTTGCCGATCAGTGCACTGGCATGCAAGGCTTCATCATCTTCCACTCCTTTGGTGGAGGAACCGGCTCCGGTTTTACCTCACTCATGATGGAACGTCTCAGTGTGGACTACGGAAAGAAGTCTAAACTGGAGTTTGCAATCTATCCAGCACCACAAATCTCAACCGCCGTTGTCGAACCTTACAACTCCATCCTTTGCACCCACGCTACATTGGAACATTCAGACTGTGCTTTCATGATCGACAATGAAGCCATCTACGACGTCTGTAGGTAAGTATCTAGAGTTTGGTTAAATTAGATTATGATTCATGACAAAGGTCTTTTCCCAATAATCGTCTACATAGTACTTAGACATAGCTACGCGTTTCATAGTCTTTTATTTTGAGTCCAGCGCAGTCAAACGAGCTGAGTCTATGGTCATCCAATTCTACCTTTTAGCCCTTAATTGTTTTTTTCTTAAATTAAAGACGATCCTGGCGAACTGATTCACAGGGAGATTGCTGGGAGGATACAGTGAATGTTTGATTCCAGATTCCGGTTATTTCTTAATTATCTAAAAATGTTTGTAGTTAAGTATTCAGGCTAGTAATTTACCAGCTGAAGGTGCGTCTTCACTGAGTATATTGCCGTATGTTAGGAATGCCCCAGCTACTGATAGTCATCGCAAGTCAGCCGTAATCTTGGTGAATTTGCTATGGACAGCTCGTCTTAAGAAACATTCTGTTTTGATGGTTCACCATCTTAGTGACCGGATTTTCGGTCCATACGGAAATGTTGATAAAAAGCTAGGCTGTCATAGCTCGCATTTAGCTGTACCATTGACTCTGTAACTGTTACAGCCCAGCAAATTGTTATCCCGATTTATTAGATTCAGGATAATATCTTTTAAATAACCACTGTCGGTACTGAAGTTGCATTTTCCTTGAATTTGCCACTACAATTGCTTCGGTTCACTACTGACACCCTCAGGTGAGAGAATGGCGCCTGCGCGCGCGTAGTGTCATATTACAGCTAAAGAGCGTCAACCAGTGTACGTCAGATTGCATAAGTGGAGTAGCCTATCACATGTCAGCATCAGATAACTTGATAAATCGATATTCAGGTATCTCTACTCCATATATATTTGCTACTAGTGTTCACGTGCGTCTTCAGCATCTACTATAACAGCTGACACATCGACTAGTGTTGATACAATTCTTTTGCTTAACAAATCTTTTGTTTTCGCTTAGACGCAACCTGGATATCGAGCGGCCAACGTACACAAATCTCAATCGACTCATCGCCCAGAT